AGGTCACCATACAATCTTCAACAATGAAAAAACCCATACCTCATAGCAAGCTATAAAGGCCCCGACATGACTAAATGTAAAACAGTTCAAACAAGAAAACCATCATTTATATGTGGAGATTTTAATGCCAGAATAGGCTCTGAAAATGACTTTATAGTAAACGATGATTCAAAATTTACTCCAATTTTTGATACATACCCTACTGACAAAAACATTATGACAAGAAAAAGTCGAGACCAAAAAATTGATCAAAGAGGCAAAGAAGTTTTGGATTTTTGCATTAGTAAACAAATAAGAATTTTAAATGGCAGAGTTCTTGGTGATACATTTGGTAATTTTACTTGCTATACCCCCAATGGTGCAAGTGTGGTTGATTATGTTGCTGTGTCGGAAGAAATTCTTGAAAATGTACTGTATTTTAAAGTATCCAGTTTTATTCCCACATTATCTGATTGTCATTGTAAACTTGAGTGGGAATTATCTGCAAAATATTGTGTTCCTGGAGAAAATGATATTCCAATCCAGTTGAAAAATATGACACCTAATTATATCTGGACTGACTGTTCAGCAATAAAATTTCAAGAAACACTTTCTTCAGATACACTACAAAACTACATACTATAATTCAACAACAGCACAATTCAATTTACTCAGACATCAGTAGATGAAGCATCATCAAAACTTTCAAACATCTTTTTATCAGCAGCAAATCTATCACTTAAACGACCTTTAAAAAAACACACAAACAAACAAAAAAACAAAAAGTGGTTTGACGCAGGTTTACAACAAGCTCGAACTAACTTGCTTAATTATGGAAAAATTTATTCAAGATTTCCATATGATCCAATTATCAAAAATCACTTTTATAAACTGAATCGTGAATACTCCAAACTAAGGAAATATAAATACAAACAATACAAACAATCATTGATTAGTCAGCTGGACTCCTTGCACGAAGAGAATCCAAAACTGTATTGGAACTTAATTAATGAACTACAGGAAAAAAATGAAACACAAAAAAAATGTGGAGTACAACCATCAACTTTGATATCACATTTCCAAAAGTTGTCACAACTGAAAGGTGAATTTCAAAGTAGATATACAGAGCTATGTGAAAAACTGAAACAGTTAGAAAACTCAAAATGTTTCAACGAGTTGGACTCCGTTATCACTGAGTCTGAAATATCCAAAGCCATTTCACACTTAAAATGCAATAAATCATCAGGCTTGGATAACATTAGTAATAATATGATAAAGAATGGACAGACTTTCCTTTTAAAAAGTTTTCAACAGATGTTTAATACTTGTCTGTCTTCAGGTATATACCCAACATCTTGGGCTGAAGGTTATATTACACCAATTTTTAAAAGCAACGATACAAGTGACCCTAACAATTATAGAGGAATAACAATAACAAGTGCAATTGGAAAGCTTTTTAATAGAATATTAAGTCTAAGACTGGACAAATTTCTTCAGGAACATAATATTATACATGATAGTCAAATTGGATTCACAAGGAAAGCCAGAACTGCAGATCATATGTTTATTTTAAACTGTCTTATTAACAAATACTGTAATTCAAAAGAAGGTAGACTGTTTGCCTGTTTTGTTGATTTTCAGAAGGCTTTTGATACTGTTATACATACAGGGATCAAGATTAAACTACTAGATATTGGGGCTGGGTCTTATTTTTATAACATTATTAAAAGTATGTATGAAATTAGCAAATCATGTGTCAAAATTCAAAATCAAGTAAGTGATTTTTTCCGATTAGATATTGGAGTCAAACAAGGTGACAACCTCAGTCCGGATTTATTCAAGATATTCATAAATGATTTGCCCAGATATTTGTCAGATACTAGAGACCCAGTTAATGTCAATGACAAAGATCTACATTGTTTAATGTATGCTGATGATATTGTTTTATTATCTACATCAGCTGAAGGACTACGAGAAAAGCTGGGAATGCTTGATAAATTTTGCAAAGATTGGTGTCTCAATGTGAATACTAATAAGACAAAGGTGCTGATTTTCAACAAGGCAGGCAGACAAGTAAAACAGATATTCACATTTCAGAATATAAATCTGGAATGTGTTTCAAAATACAAATACCTAGGTTTATATTTAAGCTCATCTGGTTCATTCAGTTATGCTCAAAATGAACTATACAAAAAATCCCTGAAAGCTCATTTCAAATTAAGGAAAGATCTTTTATCACTTAATCCTGATGTAAAAACAAGTATTCATGTTTTTGACCACACTGTAAAACCTATTTTATCATATGGTAGCGAAATATGGGGGATGTTTAATTCTCTTTCCTCTAAATGTAAGAAGGAAGATATATCTTTTGAAAAATTATATTTAGGTTTACCCTGTGAGAAACTTCATATAAAATTTTGTAAATTTATACTTGGGGTACACAAGAAAACAACAAATGCTGCAGTGTTATCTGAACTTGGAAGATTTCCAATATATTTTAATATTATAAAAGGAATGTTATTGTACTGGTATAGAATAGAGAATTTAGGTAATAATTTTCCTCTATTAAAAGAGGCATATACACAATCAAAGACACTACATCACATGAATATAACATCATGGTATGGTTCAATAAATGTTGTTTTTAAAATACTTGGTATTGACTATACAAATGCCATAAATGCTCCATTTTGTGAATCCTTATACAAATTTAAGAAATATATACAAACCAAGTTATCAATATTGTTTATTAGCTGTTGGAAAAAACAAATAGATAAATTTTCAGACAGTAAACTGAAAACCTACCTTTTATATAAAACAAATTTTGGTTTTGAAAAATATCTAACATTGATCAAGAATTTTGAACTTAGAAGAAGTTTTACTAAATTACGTGTATCTTCTCATAGATTACAAATAGAATTAGGTAGATATCAGGGTATTCCCCGAATTAACAGAATATGTAATAAATGTTCTTCCAATACTGTCGAAGATGAGGCTCATTTTCTATTTGATTGTAACAAATTTGAGGATGATAGAAATTGTATGTTAGCTAGTATTGCAAAATATAATTCTTATTTTAATCATATGAGCAGTCAAAGCAAAATTATCTGGTTATTTAGTGTAGAAAATGTTGAGTTACTTAAAATAATATGTAATTTTATATACAAACGTCTTCCTTAGTGAATATTAGTTAAAGGAAATCTATGTGTGTATATACATTTGATTGGACATAGAAAATTATATTCATCTGAATATCACAAACATACTAGCCGATTAAAAAAAAAAATGATTGTTAAGATATATTATTTATTCAAATGTTCTCTTATATCCTTGAGGCATCGTCCCCTGGTATCAACTGCATTCAAGTTACCTATGATGCTTCCTTGTTTGCTTTTGATACAGGTAGGAAAGAGACATTTACACACATTTTACATGCCTATGGCCCATAAGGTATCGCCCCCTGGTGTCAGCTGCCTTTAGGAAACCATAATGCTTTCCTATTTGCTGCTGACACAGGATGAGTCATGGACATGCTTAATTTCTACTTTCTTTTTGGCTAATTATTATATATTTAATTGATCCAACTTTTTGTGTACTATACATATGTGGATATCTATTTTTCTTTTTTTTCTTTTTGGGCTGCTTGTTTGTTATCTATATCAACCACACTTGCAATAAAATGCATTAGTATTAAAAAAAAAACATACTATAGATTCTTTATCTACGTATTCTTTAAGAACTTAAATAGTTCTCGTTTAACTTTTTTTTTTTTATCTCATTGTTTGTATTGTATTATGAAAAATTATTGATGTTGTAATGTTTATGCCCTTTGGGGCCCATAATTGGAAATAAAATATCTTATCTTATCTTATCTTATACAAAACAACAAAGAAAAACAAATATGATATACAGGAACAAACAATAATCACTGCATTACTTGATATGACACTTGCACATACAGAATGTCGCGATTTTTAAAAAGGTTCGCTGGAGCCAAACCCTCCCCTAAACTGGGACAGTGGCGTAACAGCACAACATAAGAACAAACTATAAAAAATAGTTGAAAAGTGCTTGCTCAATAGATCGACACAACGCACAATGAAATGCTCCGCATGGCACAGCTTGATCCGACCGCAGAGGTCGAAACCTTGAACAGTTGGGGCAAGTATTGACACAACATTCAAGCTGGTTACAGCTCTGAATTTAGACTGTGATTAAATATTTGACACAGCATAGGTTTCTGACATATAATGAATGTGGTTTAAGAACTTAAAAATTTTGAAATTAGACATTTATTTATTATGGTCCAATATCCAAAATCTAAAATCATGGTTAGATTCAGCATGTCAAAGAACCCTAAGAATTGAATTTTTGAAAAAAAAGTAAAATTGTTTAGCTTTTGGACATCAATGCGGACCAATTTGATAACGGGGCCAAAATTCCAAAATCTAAATATACAGAATATCAAAGACACCCAAGAATTCAAGACTTTGAATTAAACCCCATTGAAATTGGTCAAGATATAAGCAATTTATACAAAGTATTAGAAACAAATTGCTTTTGGCCCCTTATTCCTAAACGATTAGGGCCATAACCCCCACAATCAATCCCAACCTTCCTTTTGTGGTAAGGAACCTTGTGGTGCAATTTTATAGAGAGATCTAAACACTTATACTCAATTGATTGTCTGGAAACCAAATGTCTTCGGACGACAACGACGACCACATACCATTATACGACCGCAGAAATTTTACGGTCGTATAAAAACAACTTAACATAAACTAAAGACACAAACTATCGAATTGAGAGTACTCGCAGTTACCGAAAGCTAGTTCAAAGCCAATAACAAATACCCCGGTAATGAAAAAAATTATGTATCCATGACAAAATATCAATCGGCCAGTACACATCCAATGGATTTAGTATAACGATGTCATAAAAAGTAAAAGAAAACATTTTTTTTTCTTGCCGAAATATAAGTATCGATAGGATGTAGAACCGTAGGTGTATAGTAATACATATTTAGTAATGTTTTGATTTATTGATAACAAAATCAATGTAAGTACCGATAAAAACAATATTCAAAGATAGCATTACAGTGTTAAATTGATAAACTTTAAGAATAAGTTTATTTAAAAGATCGATCAGTTTACATGGATCGAATCTAAATTTACGTGTTCTGAAGACAACATCACCGTTAAAATTATGATTCGATATCCCGCTAGAAATAAGTTTTCTACAGGTACAAGCAAACATCCAAACTAAACAGTGTATCAATAACATAATTTAGTTAAGATTTTAAGTATTTTGTGGTAGCGAAATCCCTAGCACTTTACCAGTGATACTCAAATAACGTGCATTAAAATCTACACACTACATACATGGGCATAGCAAACGAGTTAGAATATATAAACACCGCAAGATTGGGACAAAGGAACATAACTGTCCAAAAGGAAAACCAACAATATGGGGGAAAATCGTCCATTTTGTCGTGAATTTTAGTATGGAGTTTCCCCGTGTAAATTTAGGAAATGGCAGTTATTCCTGTTGATATAAGATTTATTTACAGGAAGTTCCCTTGGGTATAATCAAAAGAATTCTTATATATTTATCAACTAATATATATAATGTATATTCTGGAAGTTGTATCGCTATAAATAAATAAATACGGACGAACGATTATGTAACAAACTCCATATACATTTAACTGGGTTTAACATGACATGAACAGAACCTTGTGGTGGAACATTTCTATCCTAATACAAACACCTTTCCTGTTATATGTTCCTTTTCGCATTTTACCATGCAACAGCGCAAGTTGTAAGCCTTACATCCGAAGTTTTGCATCTTTGGAAAACAAAGTACGTTTTACGTACGCTAAATTAAATGCATGAAACAAGCATTGCTATTTTACCTCTGTAAAGGATTCATACTTCCAAGATGCTTCATTTTGCGATAAAACTAACGCACAAGGTTGGAAAATATTTTGATAAGGCTGATACAATTATTGTTTAACTAATTAATGTGATGAGCAAAATTGTGACTATGTAAATTGCAAAATGTGATAAAAATACAAACATTTCTTTCTAAATATCGTCTCACGACCATAGTTTTGATTTCAAAATTGAACTCTATATTACGGCAGGACCATAATAGTATGCACATTATTATCTTATACTTTACATGTTCAACGGTCCAAATACTCAAATGGCGTGGAACAAGAAAAGGGATCCCCCTTTAAAAAAAAAAACTAAATTTGGCTACGCTGTATTAACGCCAAATTAGATGTTTTAATTACTATTATGAAGCTGCTAATAAAAGAAGAAATGTTGATATACATGTACATAAAACCACACTAAACTTTCCAAAATACAACTTTCATATATGACCTAAAAATGAAAATTACAAAAAATGTAAATCGTATAAAAAATATGAAAGTTTGAGAATCTACAACTTACAACGAAAAACATACACACGAGATCATGGTATCTATTCTAATAGATCTGGAACATTAAATAATCTTATAACTTCTTCTTCATCCTGTCTCTGATATAACATCTCTCCATTGAAGTGTAACAAACCACGTTTTCTTGCTCTAATTAGTATACCTACAACTTTGTTTGAAATAGCAACATACGTTTGGAAAAGTTTCCTGAAAGTGATGGTCACCGTTCCATCATCCTGTAGTTCACCATTTTCGGCAATCATTAAACAAAGTTCTCCAATTTCTTTCACAACATGTTTATGTGCTTTTATGCCGCGCTTTTCTGTCTTCGAACCTTTAGGGGGTCGTCCGTATTCCGGGTGATCCGTGGGCAAGACGACTCTTACTTTAGGTCCTTTCCATTCTTTGTCTGGGTTTATTATCATCTTTTCAAAGTGATCATCTTCTAGTTTCTGCCACATGGCAGCACGATTGGCAACTCCTGCGTCGTAGATATATTGCGTCATTTCGTTTGGATCAACCTGAAATTGAAGGAATCATTGGGAATTTTTGGACCGTCAGAAAAAAAGTAACAACGAAATATTGTCTAATTTTCAAATGTAGAAATGACAAATTTTAAACATAAAGAAAGTCATGCCCTAGATTGTTTGGCACTATTATTTCCATAGTAATACAATTGAAATTATGCCATTTTAACCATTACAATCATATATTTCCCAGTTCCATATATATTACATTACAATTTTTCCTCGGATATTTGAAAACTGCTCTCCTTGTATTAATTAAATTAATTAAATAGGACATCTTCAGTGTAACTGTTGTAGGCATTTGTCTTATTTTATATGAATTATTTAAACAAACAAAAAATGATTCTGTAAAGAAAATCTTAATTATTTCAGGGATGTTGTAAATGATCACTTATCAGATCACTGATTTTACAAAACTCCTGAAATTTCAGCGATTTTACAAAATCCCTAATTTTACAAATTCACTGCAACATATAAATAATACATCGGTAATATTTGTCTTTATTACCTGATCTTTCATTTGTCGAATTTGTCTTGGGGTTGTCCAGTTCCTTTTCACACCAGAGGATGTACTACATATATTTGGTTTTCTACTGTCATCTTCACGGTTCTGCCAATATGCTGCTCTGCCACTTACATCCCTTGTCAGAACAACATCGTCTCTTCTCTGGCGAGTTTTTGACAAACCACAATTAAACTTTTCCTCAAAATCATTACAAAAATCAGCACCACCAAGACGGCCATTTGTTTCATTGACTTTGAATTGTTGACCTCTATCACCGACAGTATGAACATCAGTGTAACCAATAACATTCCCATGGAAATCTTTAGTAACATCCTTAATATCTTTCCTAACGTTATAACTAGCTTTGTTGCTTTCGCCTATGCCTTCATTAATTGTGTATCCATTTCTTTTAGCAAGATCCATCCCAACAGCTGCTTGTCTGGACAATACATAATCATCATATGCTGTGTCTGCGTCCTAAAATTCATTTAAATTAAGTCATTATTTAAAATATATGAAGATATTATACAGATGTCACTCGAATCTCACGAATCCTGGTATAGACAAACAAAACAGGGAAAAGTATACAAACAAATCTCGTTTGGTCATGGTACAGACAAAATAACCGAAAAATAGAACAAAATAGAACATAAAAATCTCGTTGGGCAAACGTACAGACAAACATTATCAAAAAATTGAACATAAAAATCTCGTTGGAGCATAGTGCAGACTACATAACCGAAAAAAAGACGTAAAAATCTCGTTGGGTAATGGTAAAGACAAACATTACCAAAAAATAGAACATATAAAATCTCGTTATGTTATGGTACAGACCAACATAACCGAAAAATATAACATACAGATCTGAGTGGGGCCTGGTACAGACAACGTAACTGAAAATGGAACATAAAAATCTCAGTGGGGTTTGATACAAACATAACAGAAAAATAGAACATAAAGATCTCATTGGCCATGGGGCTTGGTACAGACAACGTTACCGAAAATAGAACATAAAAATCTCAGTGTGTCATGGAACATACAAATATAACCGAAAATAAGAACATAAAGATTTCCCTGTGGCCAAATACAGATAGACATTACAGCATAAATAGAACAGGAAAAGGTCAAGAATCCACGTAAAGACACATTACACTGAAACAGTACATTATAATTTCATGTGACCTGACACAAACAGACGTTACAGCGAAACAGAACATGATAACTTCATGGGGCCTGGTATATACAAACATAACAGTAAAACCAGTAAATGGGATTCACATGGGGCGTGATACGGACATGACAATGAACACAGTACATGAGAATCTTTTTACATAAAGACATTTAATTGAAAACAGAACATGCACATCTCACGAATCCTGGTACAGACAAAGATCACATGAAAACCTGGTACGAATAGAGGATTTTACTTAAGGGATCCCGATGATGAATCTATATAAAGCTATACTAAACTATCTTTTACTCTAAAATTTATCCTAATCAATACCACCTAATACTATAGGCCAATACAAACCCTAACAATAAACATGATAAATGAACCATAACCCTGAGGTACAGGGATCCCAGAATTAAGGAAAGATCAGTTAGATACTTCAGCAAAACCAGAACATGAAATCTCACGAATCCATATACATTACAGTACAAACAGTAAATGGGAATTTCATGTCCTTGTACAATTCGACTTTACGGTGAAAACGGTAATAAGTCCTGGGACAAACAAAAAAGAATGTGAAGGGGAATCATGAAACAGGCGGACAAGACAATGAAAACTGTACATGAGAATTCAATGAAACCTGATTCAGACAGAAATAACAATAAAAACAGTAGACGAGAACCTCATAAGTCCTAGTACAGACAAAAAATGTCAGTAAAAGCATCACCCTAGGATGAAGGGTCGGAAATTTAGACTGCAATTGGAAATGGTTTGTTGAATAGGGGTAGATTAGCTATAAATCTAAACGGGCTGTAACGGAGACTTTCTATCTGTGGAAGACCAAACATGTCACGGGAAAGCTGGAACAATAAGTCGTCATATACTAACAAGTTGTTGAAACAAATATGACTGAAAGGTCTAAATTCGAACGTCTTGTATATCAATATTGTGCATGCTTGATAAAAAAAATGTATACAACTTTTAGCATGAATCGTACGTTTCCTTTTATGGATATTTGTTTTCAATATATTTAAAAGCAAATATAATATATTAAATATAATTTTAGTTAGTTTTTGCATTTTCTAATCACCCTTGTGAAAAACTTACATCTTCAACATCATCCTCGGCAGAGAGAATGTTGAAATCTTTCAGATATCCAGTACTTTTTGGCCTAGGCATAGATGCCTTTTTCTTCCTGATCTGCCAGGCTGGCAAATTCGATCGTGTTTCCTTGTTTTTCATTGTATCTATTCCATTGGAATTTAGTTTCTCGTTTTCTATTCCTCTATCAGTGCCTGTTGTTCTACAAAATTGTTAATGACTATATTTCTTTTTATCTTTGTTAACAAATAATATTGATTTTTTTTTAAATAGTGGCAAAAGAAAAGATGAGTGCGTTTTGAACCATATATGACTGCAATAGAGAGAAAAAAACAGAGAAAAGGATAAATAAAGAAGTTACAAAAACCATTAGTTGTTGCTTCTTGCATATCCATAAATCTTTACATGTAGGTTGTTATGGCGGATAGTATAAAGTTATGAATCGGCCATCTCATCAACATTATGTCAGATTTGTTTTTAAAAAGAAATAGTCCCAAAGGATATCAAAAACACATAACTAAGTACTCTCTTGTTTAAAGAAACAACTAGATTTAAAAAAATAACCAAGTTGATAGTAACTTGTGTGCATAGTTATGATGAATTTTAGTTCTAATATGCTAGTTGTGTCTAGTTTTCTTTAAATACTGAGCGCATTACATTTGCTCACATTTGGGGATTAAATTTGTTTACGATTGCGCGCAATATTTCATTATATTTGCTCTATTCAATTTACGTGTAACGTAGGTAAGTATAAAGGTTACTTATAATAAACTTGTCGAAAGTTTTTAATTTGAATTTATATTAATAATTTTAAATATTTTTTTATATTGAATCCTAAAGAAACCCCGTAAGCCCTTAGGGCATACAGTTAAGTGAGGTATTTGATGGAGCAGTTATGAAAATATCAGAATGGAGAAATTGGTCGTATTTATGTCCTTGAAATATTCAGCACGTACGGACATGTGAAATCAGTATGGTTTACTCTTCAGATTTGTATGTTCGATGCACTTTTAGATTTGTGTTTATGTCTATTACTTAGTGCTTATTTTACTAGTGCAAAATAAAACAGAATTATCATCCTCGAAACCTCACATCCACTTCCACGTTGGTGAGGAAGGGGGGACATAGACTAACCGGCGGAAGAGGTTCTTATCACTTGATAGTAAATAAATAAATAATTTATAAATAAGTATAATTTACTTGTGTTTACTTAAATAGGTCAACATTTACATGTAAAATGAATGCGAAAAAGCTGCGAGTAAACGTAATGATTTTTACGCGCAAATGTAATGGTAATTCGCGCAAATATAATGCACCGTAAAACCTAAATGTGTAAGTGCTAAGTTCTGTCTTTTTTTATCTTCCTTTGTATCTTTAAATAGAAAGTGAAGTTTTATTTTACATCTGTTTATTGAGTGTTTATAAAAATACGCGATGCATTTTGTGTAATTTTAAAAAGAAAATGGATATACGTTCACTTTGATAGAGCTTGACAAATGGTATAGGCACTCGTCTGTTGTTGGTGTCTTTTTGGTTGTTTGTTTTCGTTGGTTAATGTCTCACTTGACATACACTTTACATCTCCTTTCATTAAAATATTGCTATGTACGTTTAATGATAAATGTTCTATTCGTAAGATAAGACCGTTTCGCTTTGTTTTAATTTGTTTGAAGTCAAACAGTATCTAAATAATAAATACAGGATAAGACATACAAAACACGAGCATAATATTACTGTTAACTAATCCATTAGTTGAGTTGTGCAAAGTGGCTAGACTTGTGTGAATATTTCGTCATAGGATCACCTAACGGAGCGAGATCATGGTAGTCATCTGTAACGTTATTCAATCTTTCCAGCTGATATGTTTTCTCGATAGACCACTTTCGTATATATGCTTTAATCTTTCGACACTTTATTATTGTACGGAAATTGCCGTTCGAGAAAAATATTGATGTGTGCTGATGTTGTCAACTTTTATTTGTTCCAACTAACAGAAGTTTCCCTAAAAACTTTGACCCCCAAGGGTGACTGGGGAATAGAAGTATGGACACCATTGGTCTTCCTCCGACCGGCAGTAAAACCCGTGCTAAAGTGGGGCGTCCGTTTGGCTGTGCGGGATGTACAAATTTGCAGCCACGTCCGGTCAGAATGGGGACGTTAAATCCGATGCCTCGTGTATAGAAAGTGCCACGTTCTTTGCACGTTAAGAACCCTTGCAACAACTCTTTGAGGGGTCCGTAGGTGACCTGTTGCAAGCCTAAATTTCTGTCCCTATCCAATATACCCTCATTTCCCGTGGCAGTCTAAATTTCTCCGACCTCAATCCCTTAACCTATTACAGAACCTACCTATTGTATTTATTGTGAACTTGTTCTCGTCCTGAATATGCATGAAATATTTGCCACTGGACGTTAAGCAACCAACAATCAATCAATCAATCCTAAAAACTTTGTTAAAAACAATGCTATAATATCTGTTCCTGTTGGAACAAGTACTCTATACCCTTTATTCCGCAAGGAACAAAAATTGTTTTTATAGAATAGTGGGGACAATATAGAATATTTCTTCCATTTGGAACTAATGTTATAAAGGAAATTCTGTTTCGTGACACCGTGAACATTTATGGGTGTGATAAGGTTTTTTTTTCGTCTGAAAAATTCAGCATTATTTTGTAAAATATTCTTTTTGAGTGAAAAACAAATGTGGAAAATTATAAGATTTCTTTTCTTATATTACCGGTATTTGCCACTCTTGAGCCCAATTGATTGGTTGAAAGATATCTCTTCACTAATCCATTAGGTGAGTTATGCTAGACTTGGAAGATAGAGGTGGGGGAACTTCGACTGTCACTGGAAAATGAAGGTATATTAGATAGGGACAGACTTTTGGCTTTGCAACAGACAACCTACGGACTCTTCAAATAATTGTTGCAATAGTTCATACAGAAACCATAGAACTCTCATTAAAACAGAAGTGTTACAGCAATAACATACCATTTTTAATTAAAATTTGTTGATGAAGTTCGGAAAAGCGCAATTTAAAGTGAAAAAAAAGAAATTTTTTTCGCCACTTTTTACATATATTATACATATGTATAAGATATTCATATGCAGTTCAACGAGTTCTAAGCACATTCAAAATTTCATCAAAATCAAAAAATCACCCAATTACGTATACTTTACCTTAAAGCCAGTCAATATAACAAAAGTCCTTCAGCACAAACTCACATAGTACATAATTTCAGTTGCAAAACACAGGACATTCGCTGAGAAAACAAGACCCTATTAGAAGCTATGGAAGGAGGGTGTGCATGGTAAACCTTTCTCAAACACACATCGATTTTTAAAAAGGACGTTTTTAAATACTAAGTTGGTTAATATATACAGAACATGTTTTAAATATAAAGCAGCTTTATAAGTCAAAAGACACGATCTTTGAAAATACTTCGCTAAACTTGAAAACCATCTAAATTTACCATTGTGTATACTAGATGTAAAGCTAGATGTATCATTGTCAAATCCGGTTTTGTTTTTCTCAAATCTAACTTTATGTAGTCGTGTATTGTTCAAATCAAGTTATGTTTTTCATTTCAAATCTCAGTTTTCATAGATATACAGGTAACGTTAACAGCGGGCTATATATACATTACGTACGAATCACTATCAATACAGGTTTTTAACCTCCATTATAAAAATAACATTTCTGGTTGTTTTCATCATTAAAAAGAATAGTTTGTGTGATACTTAGATTCAAATTCAAATTTTTGGGACTGTGTTGGGCATGTTAGTCACCGAACATAGCAAACATACACAGTTTAAAATTGGTGAAAAAATGTATCTTTCTTCCAAATAGAACTTTTCAATTTTGGCACGTATATACCACATGCGGACGCTATTGAAAACGTTCTGATAGTAGTGATACACAAATATAATCTCGAGAGCTCTGTTCGAGGGACTATTTTGGTTGCGATTTGATACGATGTGTGATATTGAAAAAGCCATATTATATACACTTTATTGTATACTTTAAACAGATGTTTTCTGTTGTGGTTTGGTATTAAAGCCTTGCAGCCACGACTGACTTCGATATCATATCAAGGATTTGGCTGATACAGAACAATTGTCATTGAATGTATTACACATACAATTTACATGTATTTACTACTAAGTATACAATAAAAGCAGAGTTATCATTCAGTGTTATCATTTTCTTCTTCATATAACAAATGAAAAGAACAGCACATAATAAGCAATTTAGGTAAAATAAGTTAAGAATGTTGCTATGATAAAACTAGAGGTTCTAAAGAGCCTATGTCGCTCACCGAGGTCTATGTGCATCTTCAACAATGGACATTCTCCAACTAGAATAAAATTCATGACAAAATCTCTTTTTTGTTGAATTTATATTGCTGCTCATTTTTCTATTTACAGTTTCTCTCTAGCTTCTTTAGTTTTTTACTCAAAACACAAAAAAGATTAAACAAATGTTAGTTAAGGGCAATTACTCCTATAAAAAGTCTACTTACGATTTCGGCAAAATTTGACTTACTCGTAGATCTAGTCTTGCTGATTATTTTTGCTATTTAAAGTGTCTATCTATCTTTTATAGTTTTCAAAACTTTTCAAAAGTTTTCATAAGACAAAAACGCAAAATATTGGTAAAAATCGCCATTAAAGAGCAAGAACTCGACAATTAGGAGTCGACTAACGATTTCGGCCATGTTGACTTGTTTGTAGATCTTGTCTTACTGATCACGTTTGCTATTTAAAGTGGCAAAAAATGTTATCTATCTATAATAGTTTTCAAGATAAGAGGCAGAACACTAAAAATGGATAAAAATCGCCATTAAAGAGCATTTAAATTAAATCCAATAAGGAGTGAACAGGTTATGTTGGCCAGTAGATTTAATTCAAGATCTTGTCTTGCTCATCATTTTTGCTTATTCAAGTTTATAACTATATATTGCAGTTTTTCACATATCAGGCAAAAACTAAAAAAATGGTAAAAATCATCTTTAAAGAGTAATAACTCTAATTAGGGGTCGTAGGACAATTTCAACCAAGCAGACTTATTCGTAGATCCTGTCTTGTTGATCGTTGTTGCTTTTTACAGTTTCTATCTATCTATTACAGCTTTCAGATATTAGGGACACACGCAAATGATAAAAATCGTCATTAAAGGGCAATAACTCTAATAAGGAGTCGTCTGACAATTTTGATTATGTTGACTTATTTGTAGATCGTGTCTTGCTGATCATTTCTATTCAAAGTTTCTATTTATCAATTTTTATTTTCAAAATACTAGGCAAGAATGAAAAAAAAATGGTAAAATTCGTCATTAAAGGGCAATAACTCTTAAAAGAAGTCGTCTGACAGTTTTGATATAAAATAGACAATAGGTAAATCTCATCATTATTTCACAATCCTGCCTCTGTCAGATTTTCTCTATTTATAGCGGTCATGATAATAGATAAAACTTGCACTTTCCTCCAATGTTCTATTTTTAGCCATGTTGATTGGCAGGCGGGGTCATCCGACATATTTTTTAAACTAGAAACCCTAATGATGATTGCGGCCAAGTTTGATTAAAATTTAGTTTAAGAGGAGAAGATTTTTACGACGACGGACGACGGACGACGAACACCAGCTGATGAGAAAAGCTCACTTGGCTCTCTGGGTCAGGTGAGCTCGAAAAATCATACAGTGCGAACCTGGATTAATTTTTGATTCGCCTTTTCAGAATCCAAAGAAATATCGTTAATTTCACCTTTCGTACACTAAAAAAGAAAATAACGTCACAACATAAATGTTCAATTTCCAATATCCCGTGCGTGAACGTAAATTAGACCAGATAAATTCAAGAAAACTACCCTTAAAATTACATTTATTTGCACTTTTGAAACTATGGCAACTGTAACGAGGTGTTTGTGGGACAGAAACATGTCATGCAAACACATAGGCTTTTAGCAAAGACTTTAACACACAGGCATTAATCGAAACGACCTTAAATAATAATCGTTTTGACAGTTCAATGTTTCAACGGATATCCATTTTTAATGTTTTGTAAGACTATTTTCCATTATTTATTTTATCCTGAACAGATGTATGCACCTAGAAACAATATTTTATTTTGAAAGTTTCCCGTGACAATAAGTAGGTCGTTGTGATCGAAAACTTAATTGAAAACTTGTTTCAGGAAAAAGTACCATGCATAGAACTTCACCATGGAAATTGGTTTTTGGAAAGATCTTTAGATTCTTTATATGTAAATTTTTTTTTTTTTCTTCATTTTTTATTATAAATATGCAGCAACTGCATTGATGCGCATACATGCATAGCAATACAAGCAATCTTGTTCTTACGTCTGCTGAGCTTGAACCAGTGGTGAATACAATTGGTTCTCAGAATTGGATCCCCACCCTTGTTTGATTTTCTTGAAAATCCTGTATAACATTCAACAATATATGTACACAAATTATATCATAACACAAACAATGAACTAGAAGAATTATTACGATTCCTGTCTCTATATTCTGGTGTTTTGTCGCTGTTACAGATTCATCGCATAATAGACGATAAGACGATCATAAGTTCAACAATTAATCATCATCAACAAGAATTGGCACACTTAAATATCTCGCCTCTTACATATTTTGGAATTTTTCTAAAGTTCAATAACCTTAATACCTAGGTCAAGGTTCAATTAAACATCCGCTGTATATGTGCTTCTTAAAATATATTGAACTGCAATTATTGTAAAAAATCTCAGGAAAAATATAATATGCAGACGTAATTCGAAAACTGTCAACTGGAGGATAGATCAAGCTTAGCCATATGACATATACCAGAAAGATACACACCACGCAATTAATTCATGTACCAAAATATTATTGATCAGTCATACAGAATTACCTAAGATAACTATGATTTGGTCAATACGAATTATTCATCAAAGAATATCCTGTTTCAACGAAAAATAGAGTGGATGTACACAATCTGGCGCTTTATATGGTTTGTACCGCAAATGAAAGATTTCTTTGGTGCAAATGAATCGTACCGATCAATACTACTTCTTTAAACTATTATTCCCTACGGGCCTTGTATTCTTCAACAAGTAAAATAATTGCTGTCTATACTTAAAAGTCGACTTACAACTGACAAAATAAAAATATGCCAAACGTTAAAAACTATCTCACATTAATCGCTATAATTTTTTTCGCTATTCGCATTAATTATGAATCGATATTTTTGTATTACACATTTAAACAAGTGTGCAACATATAACTGCACATATTGGCATGATTTCAACTATTATTTGGTTCAAACCTCTTTCCAGTCTTCATGGCTTTTTTGTTCCTGTCTTTCTTCTCTTTTCTTTCTGAAGTCCCTTTTATTTGTACCTTTAAAGAAATGCAGTGTAAAATTCTATGTAATATAAATTTACTCTTAAAATGACAAAAGTTAAGACTGTCCGAGTTTTCTGCAGTTTGTCACTGAGATATTGAATTGTTTGTAGATGTCAGTACAAAACAGGGCAACAGAGCTAAACTAGAGGCACTTATCTAGTTTTTTGGATAATATCGATAAAAATGTTGCAAAAAGATATGTTTTGAATGCGTGGACCAAAATCTTGTCTGTCTTTTTTGGTCGTTGTTTGCTGGACAACGTTTTGTTTATCCATTATAATTTTCAAAATAAAAGGCAAAAAAGGAAAAATTGGTAAATATTGTGATTTAGAGACAATTCCTGTAAGCAGTCGATCGGCCATTTCAATCATATTGACTTATTTGTATATCTTGTGTTGCAGATCATTTTTGCTGTTCTAGGTTTCATATTTTAGTTTTCAAGGTATTAGGGATAAATAAAATTGTTCAGAAATCAACATCTGGTAAGGGCAACAATACCTTTAAGGTTTCTCTCTATCTATTACAATTTTAAACACAAAAATGCAAGAAAAGAAATGGATTAAATCATCAATGAAGGGAAATAACTCCTACAAGGAGTCGAAAGAACATTTCGAACATACTTATATGTACTTCTTTTAATGCTGATCATTTTTGTTATTCAAAGTTTCTATCTATAATAGATTTCAAGTTTATAGGCAAGAACTCAAAAAATGAGTACACATCGTCATTTAAAGGCAATACCTCCTATAACTAAACGAAAATTAGTGAAGCTATACAATTTAAAAGACAATAAAGCACCAAGCAAGGACAAAATACTGAACGAGTATTTATACTATATGCCTTTTAGTCTAGATTTTACTTACTGTGAACCGTTTGATCTCGTATGGAATACAGGTATTATACCTGAAAATTTGACTACTGGTAAAATATTAAACCTGTTTTCAAAAACTAGGGATGACCCGCCTAATTCTATCTCGCAATTGTCCTGATAAGTTGTTCTCGGACTCTTTACGCGTTCACTATTTATGTTATACTAGACTCTATATTTTTTCTAATGATAAAAATAATGTCCCCCCATTACACACACTGGTTGGGCTATACTTCGCTTTTGGCAAGACACTTTTTTGATCATTTGTGGAATTTCGAAAGGATTTCGATAAATTTGGACCTATAGGGTTTTTTTTCCCGCATTTTTTTCTTCTTAGTTAAATTAAGAGAAATGTTTTAAAGTTGTGTACAGTATAAACAGCGGAATAAAATCTTGTGTCAATATTTTCCCCCGGTCTAGCAGGTGTTAGACAGAAGGAAAATTTACCACCTTTTCTATACTCAACCTTTTAAGTCATCTTGAAGTGACTATTTTTGCAAGCTAAATGGGGTGCCCTTAATAAATTATTAAAGAGTAACTCGAGAGCGAATTAAACGTGATTCCCGTCTCTGAACAGTAGGTGAGCAGCACGGATGAATTAAAGTTATTGTGAGGTTTTATGGTGAGAGTAGGGTCAGATAAAATAAGAGAAAAGAAGTTGAAATATTAAAGAAATTTGACATCATGTTACACATTTAAATGTGTCCGATTGTTTACTTAAAAAATCAATCAGATATATGCTGCCCCTCTAAACTGTGGAAAACAAAAAGGGTATCCATGCCTCAAGCGCCTATGCATAAATCATTCTGAACGCTGATAGCTATGGGTATATGCCGAAAAATTTATTAACGCCTAACATAGTAATGTATAAATAAATATTTTTTAATGTACAAGAGAATTTGAGCACATAAAATCAATGTCTACAATAAAAGTTTTGATTTAAATTGGAAAAACACGTCAAAATGAAATATTGAGAGAGTGTTGATAAGTTTGTTATTATTCTAAAGACAGTTACTCTACATTTGTTCACATTAATCATTAAATTAATGATAAGTCTTTCCGAACGACTAAAAGCTTTAACCGTCCAGAGCTAAGATTCTTGTTATACTAGAGTCTATAACAACGTCTACAAAGTCATAGTTTGACAAAGGGAGTGCAGGTGCGCTATAATCCCACTGCCCTAATTGTAGTGCTACATTCTGGTGTTCTTATATTGGTTCCACGGTATATGTCACTTTATTGTCACATAATCCCATGCGGCTCCTGTATAGTCCATCTATAGCCCCAAAAATAAACACTACGGTCTTTCGGGTAAAGTCCTTAATGTTATCACTTTTTCTTCATCCCGTCCTTGATACAACATTTCTCCTTCAAATTCCACAAATTTATATTTTCTAGCTCTAATCAATGTACCCACTAAGTTATTAGATATAGTCAGGTAAGCTTCAAATAGTTCACCAAAAGTAATGTTAACACTACCATCTTCTTGGTGCTTTCCCAAGTCATTGATGACATAACAAAGATCGATTACTTCACGACTACTTTGTTCACCTGCCAGCTTCCCTCTGGATTCAGTTTTTGATCCTGATACGGGACGTCCATAGTTTTCATCATCTTTTGACAATTTCTGGCGATGTGTGGCTCCCTCCCAATCAGAAAATGGGTTGATAAGTTGTTTCTCCTTGTGTTCGTCTGCTCTTTTTTGCCACATCTGAACTCTATTTGTTAAAGGCTGTTCGTCCATTTCTTGTTCCATGACTACCTGAAACAGTTCTTGTTATTACTTGACTCCAAAACGAACTCATATCAAAATCACCCACTTAAAATCTGTTGAAAAACTTTCCGCGTGTTCATATTGTAAATACAGTATTTGTTTTGAGTACAAAAGTAGATTAGAATACACACGTCAGATATATTGATTATGTTTGCCTTCGTACGTAGATCGATATAAATAACTTTACAAGTATAATCACTGAGCGTTGATATTGAGACCTGCAAAGTTAAATCCTTAAAATAGATGTAAAATACCTACCACGAAATTTGATGTAGAACTCCGTCCAACGTAAATACTTTGCGAAAGTCCTGGAAATTATCAATGGAATTAAACACCCACTTCTTTGTCAGATACAGCTGATCGTTCTTTAAAGCACCACACGCGCATACCACGTGCAATTGTAATTACAGGATTATTACATAGGTATAATTACCTGACATTGCCAGCAGAATTCCGTTCATATTTACACAAGACATAAAAACCAAACATCATTTTATTTTAAATTGGAGTCTACAGCTAAATCTTTCGAGGTATTTATAAATGTAAGATTATTCTTTAATGTATTTTTACCAACCCAGCAGGCACTCAACGTTGAATTGGTGACCAGCGTTTATTCAACATTGAAACAACGGTTACATTTTCAACGTTGAATAATAAACATGTATTCAAAGTTGAATAAATGTTATTATTCCACTGCATGTTAAAATTGATAGCGAAACCAACATTTGATTGGTTGATAGATATAGGAAGATGTGGTATGAGTGCCAATGAGACAACTCTCCATCCAAGTTACAATTTATAAAAGTAAACCATTATAGGTCAAGGTACGGCCTTCAACACGGAGTATTGGCTCACACCGAACAGCAAGCTATAAAGGGCCCCAAAAAATTACTAGTGTAAAACCATTCAAACGGAAAAACCAACGGTCTAATCTATATAAAAACGAGAAACGAGAAACACGTATGAACTACATAAACAGACGACAACTACTGTAATCAGATTCCTGACTTAGGACAGGTGCAAACATTTGCAGCGGGATTAAACGTTTTAATAGTACCAAACCTTCTCCCTTTTCTGAAACAATAGTATAACATCACAACATAGAAAAACACACTATAAAATATCAACTCAATCAAAAACCGTAAATTAACACACAATGAACGAATAAATTTGACCTGTGACACCTAAATGCAAATACACAGTTAATAAAAAATTACAAGGGATAAATAATTAAAGTCAAAAGCAAATAAACAGGTTTAAACAAAGTTAAAGTATGATATCACTGTGAAATTTCAAACAATTTATAGAAAGTCATCACTTTTGAAGAAACCTGCGTCATATTATACACAGGTAAATGAAAATAATTTTGTTGTTAAGTATACTTCTTCTTCTGTGTGTATAAAATCTTCCGTTTAGGAATACCAAGAAATTTCTTTAATATCAATAAAACTAATCTAACACTTGGTACATATGGGGTGAATATCAACAATAAAAATATACAATTAGGGCTAGATAAAACTTCCTGTACAGGTCCAAGAACAGCATCTAAGGAAAAATGAAATAATTTTGATGTTCATAGTACGAAGAAGTGAAAATTTGTAGTAATTAAATACCAAATAACGAGACTATCCCACCGTGGCACGTGACGACGAACAATACTTCATATTCCCCTCTGGACGTCGGGACTTCCATGTGCGATGTTACGCGCGGTTAATGTTTATAACGTTTTGAACTTGTTATTTTTAGAGATAATATAGTAATTTCGTTTTCAAAATTATTTCAGATCTGAAAACAAAACAAACAGAATAAATAATTAAATTTTGATCGGTACTGATTATCATTGTTAATGACGTGTTTAGTTATAAAAACAAGCGGATAATAAAAAGAGATATGTAATTTAATATCTTATGTTCAGGAATGAAAAAAAACTGTGTGAGTATAGGCAGTGGAATAAAACATTCATTTCCCTTGGCTTTATAGGGAGATATGAAGATTTGTTCACCCTCGAAAAGTCATATTTCCTTCTTGGGTGAACAAATCTTCATATATCCCTCAGGCACGGGAAATAAATGTATAAAGTATTTCAAGGTCGAAATAAGAACATATTTTCAATTTAAAAGGCAAAACAGATAATTCAAACTTTAATGAATGCATTTATAATCTTTTGGAATAGCGAGTTTACTTTCACTGGTTGCAACGTTTAACTAAGTCGATTTTTTCAATCTTGGACTACTTAATTTTGGTAAACTGAAGATATAGGGAAGAATAAAAAAAGACATATACATTTAATAGAGTCTTTGAAAACTTTTTTTTTATAATTTATTTTTTTTATTCATCATGGATTGACAGGCATTTACATATATTATCTATTGTGGGACATAATAAAGCAATGTTGATTCAACATTGAATAAACGTTGACTTTTAGGAAGCTTTTTGAAAATAATTATTTATATAATAAATTCATCATTAAATAAAGGTATTACATACATAACTATAGCTATATATATTTATAAAGAAAAGATTAAAATGGATATTGTCACAGAAATGTCATAAAATGAGATCATAATACATAAATAGTTCAGAAATAAAAATATTCGAATTTACTGCAATTGGTCTTTAAATCATGAATAATCAAGTATGTTTTTTTTTAAATTTTTACCACATAATAAATAAATTAAATATAATGACCCAAGTTGTTTGTCTTTTTTTACATTGGAAAGGTCCTTTTAGGCGGCGACCATTCATCTTTTTTGAGTGTATGGGGGATGATTTTTTTTTAATTGTTTGATTCTGAATTTCTTGGATAAAATAATTTGTATCTAAAAGGAAACATTTTAACTAATGGGATTATCCTCTTGAAATAAAGATTATTTATTTATTTATTTTATCTAAAAACATAATAAGTTCCTACTGAATATTAGAGGAACAAAATAATCGACATTGTGTTAAAAAAAATCTTTATACTGTATGCTATCGAAAAAAAATATTTGCTTTTGAATTAAACATGAAAAAAATAGTTTATTTAAAAAAAAAAATCCCATGCCCCACAAAAACATTATACACAATGAAAATTATATTGACAATATTCGTGAGCTTAGTATTCATTAAACATTGCATGTATCATGTTCTCCTCCTGATTGTGCATGTAACTTGCCGCTGCACATTAAACTTACAATAGCCATCCATCATCATGAACACGTTTTCTCTATTCTACAGATGTTTGTCAAACAAAACAATGGTTAAAATCAATCTAAGTGAGGCAATATCAAAATTAAAGATTTGGGAATTCCAATCTGTATAAAATCATCAAAATTAGGTTTTTTGCCTGTATATAACATTTGTGTTCCATTTTAAATCTGTTGTTTATTCTAATTTTGGAAAGATTAAAGTAGTTCATAAACCATATTATTTTTATGATCTAAAGTATTCTATAAGTTCTGTAGTTTATGTAAATGGACTTGTGCAGTTATCATTAAGAAACTGTGTAAGGTAAAGTGTTTTCGGGTATCAATTACAAAGTCAAACCTTCATGCAATTTTACAAATCTTGAATAGAATTCATGTTTTTTTTTATATCACATATCTTATATATTAGCTAATTTCTATATGCGCCTTGTCATAATGGTTTTAGTTTTCAATACTTCTTGAGTTGTACCATTAGTTCATAAGGATATCTAGAAACAAATTTAAGGTGTCTCAATTTTAGGAAATCTTTTCAGGACTTAAAGTTTATATTTATTATCATTTTATCTTTTTCCAGAGGTTTAATATACTGCAAAAGTATGAAGATGTCACCGAGAAACATTTATCTGATAAAGACTACGCCTTCTTGAATCCTCCACAGAAAGAACTGGAGATAGTGGAAGAAAGTCGACAGACACGAAGGACAAAAATAACAAATGAAAAAATAAAATACATCTTGAATCAAAATTTTTTTATGTTTTTAATTATGGTTTACATATGTAAAAATTGCTTTCTGAAGGGGGATAAAGTGTCTGCGTCATAATTTTTATGCAAACTATATATGTAATAATATTCATTGAATCATGTGTATTAGTTATTTAGAACAAGAAAAACTACAAGTTGGAATAGCTGAAATGATGGTATGTGTCCACTTATATGAGGATAACGATAATTGTGACACGCCATCATTTCAGCTATTCATACTTGTAGTTTTTCTTGTTCTCCATGCAAGCTAAATACACATGATTCAATGAATTGAATAGGAACTACCAAATATGTTGAACAGTACAGTACATCTCAACAACCACTGTCTTTACTGAGAAAGTAGACACAGAAACCAACAATGATGTTAAGATGTGCCCATTAAGGTCTAGATTTCTGACTTTGTTCAAGAATAGAATGATGTATCAGTAATTAAGTTTATGCATGCATTTTGGGGTCTCCCATTTAGTCTAACAATCGGGTTCATATATGTCTTGAAAATAAAATTCATTAAAAACTGCTGCAAAGTCAAGTGTTGAATGGATGTTGAAATATCAATGTTGTTTCAAATTTTGTATATAGATTATAACATGGCCTTTTTCATATCAGACCCCATATCAGCCCTAGGTCATGTTATCAGCCCGAGGGCCGACAGGCTCGAGGGATGATTTTGACCATGGGCTGATAAGGGGTCTGATATGAAAAACGACATGTTATGTTCTTTTTATCGTATACTTCAGCAGAAGACATACAGACAAAACTACTTTTAAAACTTTGAAACAATGCATTTGTTGTAATATTTGTTTAATTTGTATTTTTTAATAATATATTTTCCTGATCAAGGATTTGTATAGTGACACTATACAAATCCTTGTCCTGATTAATATTTTATTTTTCTCCGACTTTGTTATGTTTTACTAAAAAAAAAACGTACCATTGAGGTACATTTTCCGGAATTTGCCGAATGACGTCGAACTGTCATGCGATAACGTTACAGAAAGCATGCGATAATAACCGGAAGCAGTTGATATGAAACGTAAGCAGTTGATATAAACCGGAAGCAGTTGATAACAAAAGTCATATCACACGGCTAAGGCAATTCTTCAAATTTAATGAATAAATATATGTACAAATAAGTTTTATCATGGGGTACAATTATGCCATTATTTTCTATAAGTATATGATAAAAATTAATTATCATATACTTAGACTAAATAACATATGATTTTTACCGTATGATAATAGCATTAAATTTACGTAAATTCCATATTTTTCGAATTGGTGCTTAGCGGGCTGATATGAAAAGTTTATCACATGCTTCGATTATTATCACATGCCTTTCCGTAACGTTATCGCATGGCATTCCGGTGATACTCGGCAAATTCCGGAAAATACACCTCAATGGTACGTTTTCAGTGAAAAACATTACAAAGTAGGGTA